ATATAATCATAAATATATATTATTATATAAAAATTTAGTATATGTCAAATTTTAAAAAAATAAGAAACAAATAATATAAATATATTCAAATTTAACATAAATATTATTTTTATTTAATTAATATATTATATTCATAAAATATTTATTAATCAATGGAAATTAAACACATATATAATTTTAATCTAATTACAATAAATTGATTTATAAATTTTTACTATATAAAAAAGTAAATTTAATAATCATGATTTATTTAAACTCTCTTTGCAAACATTAGTTATAGCCAGTAATTTTTAAATAGTTCATTTACAATTTATCATGATTTTTTTTCTAATTCAAAATTGATATTGAATAATCAAATTAATTTTTTTTTTCTGAATATTTAATTTAAATGCATTTTTAAATCTTAACCCTTTCTATATTAAAATATTAATTAATTTCTAAATGATATTAAAGTTGTCAAGATGTTTTTTGCAATTATTATTTTTTAATATTTGTACATAATTTTGCTTAAACATAATAATATTTATTATTAATACCAAAGATTATTATTTTTGTTCCAGGATTTTATATATTATTAATAGGTATTCAATAAATTAAATGTTGATATAGATAATCAAAAGCTGCTTATGTTTAAAAAACATAAAAAATCAATATTTTTAGAAAACAAACTTATTTATACATAATGAATTTTATATTTGTTTTAATATCTCATAGTTTTTTTGTCTAGTTGTTTTTAATATAATAATGACTATGTATTGATTTACTTTCTCCCACCGCGTTTTAGATTTTAAATAAAAATAATATTGATTTTTAGAATATTTAAAAAACTATTGATTATAATTTTATCGTTAACTGCAACTAGCCATGATTTTGATTTATCTTAAAGTTCGATTAGGTAACAGTTATTTTTATTATAAAGATTGTTTAAGCAGCTCAAGTTTCAGTTTATCTTTTTCTAGTTAGGTCTTTATTTTTCATTCTACTCTTGATTAAGTTGGCTTGCCACTATCTCCGTTATTCAGATTTAGTTTTAAAACATCTTAATTTTTTAGATCTAAATATGGACGTGATCAGTTCCATTAATTTTTTAATAAAATCACACTAAAATTGTACAAGAAGTCATTATAATTTAGCTATTTAAGTATAATTGGTTCTGGTTATAAAGAATAAGGATGTTATGCAGAAACATTGAAGAAAATATTCATTAGCCATTATATATCAATCATCTTTTCAGAAGTGAATCCAAAATCTATTACTTAAGAAAGCCAAAATTCTGAAGGTTTTCAGATTTAGAGTGATAACATCTTTGATTTCCTATAATGTGATTTAAAATACCTGTATTTGTTGGA